TGTTGATGTTGATGTTGATGTTGATGTTGATGTTGATGTTGATGTTGATGTTGATGTTGATTTTGATGTTGATGTTGATGTTGATGTTGATTTTGATTTTGATTTTGATGTTCATGAKGATGTTCATGATGATGTTCATGAGGATGTTCATTAGGATGTTCATGTTCATGAGGATCTTGTTGTTGACTTGAGAGCACTTGTAGAAGAAATAAATTATGCTCTTTTTTGTTTTTTGGTCTGTCCAGACTCTAGTACTAGTAGTACCTGCTGAATCCAGTATTACTCCCTTGTACTAGTAGTGCTGGTGGTAATACGTCACGTAGTAATTACTGAGAGTACTGGTACTACATACTCGTTTGCACCAACAGAACTTTGTTTTTTTAAATACAGTACACTACTTGTTGTACTTAAAGCAACTTCTGTTCATCAAATCTACATACTACATTACCTACCGCAGCAGAGCAGTAATATTGTGAATTACTTCCTCAGCAGGTCCACTCCTCTGAGTGTCCAGTTTGCTGCTGCACCTTTTCTACTGAAATAAGAAGCTCAATAATCAGGCGATTGGAATGATTCTTTTTCTGCATAACAGATTCATATGAGTGCTACAAAGTTGTGTTATTGTCATAAGTCTTGTACCAATAATTATAATGGAATAAGCCTTGAAACAGAGCGTTTTTTTTAAATATACTACTAGCTAGTAAATTTCATTTCACAGCAGGTTCTTGTTGAAAGGGTTCTTCTACTGGTCATTTAACAACCAGGCTTGCAGCATTAGAAAGCAAAGATTGAGTATTTTCTAAGGCCATCAATTATGTGATTAAAGAGTAGTACTTTCTTATATTAGTCATTTTCATTCAAAAGAGGCGCATGTTACCATTATCAATACAAACTTTAGTTTGCCGTGTTCATACAGTTTACCGGTATTTTAATGTGTAAAGAATAAATTAACAATTACTAGTAGTAACTTTTATTCACACGCATGCTCAATTTTAGTTGGCTCAGGAGATAGGAAAAACCAGTGTCCCATATTTTACAGTGCCAAACGCAACAAAAAATCAGGCTTCATCATGTCCTCCCTGAAACTACTTACACATCTTAGCTCCAGTGAAGATTGCCTCCAACATAATATCTATGCTGTAGGTGACAGGACCCATGACTTCAGTTCTTCCTTCTTGTACAAAACTTCCAGGAACATGGTTGGTGTTAGCCAGTGGTTTGTATGAACTAATACACCCTTATGAAGGTCAAAATAAAGTCAATGAAGATCATGGTGAGAGACCACAATATACCATTAGTTGCTGAAAGGGAGCTATACCAATGTGCTATTCAATTGGAGAGGTTGTCTGCTGGTTTCACCTGCAGTACTGGAAGCAGTCTGATCAAAACTCACCAATCTGTTCTAGATGAATGCTACAAAGCAGTCCCTGAACTATACCATGATGGTTTTGTACCACAGCTTATGTAATGGCATTCTAGTAGTAGCAACAAAGTTGGCAACAAAGAAATATATCATGTAAGGTCCTTCAGATGTGCATTGCAAAAGATACGACAAGCTATATGGGTATTTCACTTCTGCTAATACCAAAATGATCTGTCAACACTGTAACTGCTGCCCTTGTGTGCTTGGAATCAATTCAAAATTTAAGGTCCTGAACGCCACCATTTCTAATGACAAACTCATCATTGCTCTGCAAAGTGCAACAATAAAGGGTGCCACCATAACCTGAGAGGAGAGTAATGGGGCAAGCTGCTGTCAGTGCATGTTATGTGCCTCTTCTTGCTCCATGAGCCTTCTGCTGCTGTGGTACTACCATTTATTGTCTTGTCAGATTTGTCGTGGATCTGGTGAGATCACTGAATATACCACCAAGTGTCATATTCAATGGACAAAGGGTTGTGCTTCCGTGCCTGCCTACCGTACTGTTTATACGTGTTCTACACAGTAATTCGTAGAATCCAACTGTCAAAATCAAAAACTCAAAAAAGCGTGAAGTAAAGTGGGGGACACTCTTTCAGGACCAGCGAATAACGGTTATAGTGACACTCATAGTGGACCGGAGGAAGTATGACCAGAACAAAAAGGAATAGGGTCAAATAACCGACATTCTGCCTGTTCACTTGATTATTCTTCATCAACCTCTGTGAACAACTTGCGTCCTTGTCTATCGTCGGGATCAACCAAAAGTGGCGAAAGAGATCTGAAAGAGCCCATATCAGTACTGTTAGCTTCTTTTCATTGAACTGACAGGGAGAAGAAAAGCGCTAGAAGCTAAGACGAATAAATCAACGACAATGACCAATTTTTCCTATATTTTCTGGGGTTTTTTAACCCTCTGCGCTTCTGTCACCTTTCGCTCCAGCGATTACTACAAAAACTGTTCTGAAGGCAAAGGACTGACCATCAACGAGGATAATGGCATCAGTGATACAGCTAAAAAGGCACACACTAAGCTCCTTAAAAAATACATGTTTGTGTACCTGTTGGCAACGCTCAGCGATTGGCTCCAGGGACCCTACGTCTACGCCCTCTATTCGGACTACGGGTTTGAGCAACATGAGATTGCCCAGCTCTTTGTTGCTGGCTTTGGATCTTCCATGATTTTTGGATCCTTCGTCGGCGGTCTTGCCGATCAGGGTGGACGGCGTCTCTTTGTTATTCTCTTTGCCGTCGTGTATTTGGCGAGCTGTCTGACGAAACGTGAGTACAAACTTTTGCTCGATTGGCATTGACTAGTAAGAATCAAAGTTCGCATTGCAATGACGAAGCGATGAGCGTCCAACGTCCAGTATTTCCTTTATGTTTCTCAAACGTCTTTTTTACCTTCCTGTCAATGGTTGTACCCGAACTCTAGACTTCAAGAGCTACAGCGTGCTCATGGTTGGGCGGCTGCTTGGAGGTGTTTCTACATCTCTTTTATTCAGCGTATTCGAGGCCTGGCTCATCAAAGCTCACGCCGATGCTGATCTCCCCAAGCAGTGCCTACCGAAATCCTTTTCGTGGGCCGCCTTCGGAAATTCTGCCGTTGCCATCATGGCCGGTGTTGTTGCCAATCACATTGCCTCGTCATCTCCGATGGTCCCGGTGTCCGGTAACATCTACATGGGCGGATATCTGAATCCCTTTGATCTAGCGATTGTAGCTCTCGTTTTGTGCGCGAGTGGGGCCTACCTTCTTTGGGAGGAGAACTACGGCAGCAGCTCGTCCGAGGGAACCCAACATGGAGGCGAATCGGAAACCAACGAAAAGAAGGCGGGGAATGCAGCCTGGTACGCCGGACTCAAAAACGCTTTGACGGCGGCCCTGCACAATCGGGATATCTTTTTGTGCGGTATAATTTCATCTCTCTTCGAAGGGTCCATGTACATTTTTGTATTTATGTGGACGCCACTTCTAAAAGCGCTCGAAGAAGACAGCAATCTGCCCTTTGGCTTGATCTTTGCCACCTTTATGGTGTGCTGTATGACTGGATCCTCCCTATTTTCGATCGTGGTGGAGAAATACCCAGTCGAAAAGCTCGGGATCGTCGTGTTCGGTGTTGGTGCCATTGCCATGTCGATTGTGGCGCTTGAAGTCAGTGAAACTGTCTCCTTTTTAGGAATGAACCTCTTTGAAATGTGTGTCGGCATGTACTTTCCCATTATGGGAACCATGAAGGGAGGCATCGTTCCGGAAGACAAGAGGGCTGCTATTTACAACCTATACCGAATCCCTCTTAACTTCATCGTCTTGTTTTCACTCCTGACGGATTTGACCCCACGCACCTCATTCACGCTGAATGCAACTATGCTGGTGACGGCAACCGTTTTACAAGCGATCTTGTCCAAGCGACGCCTCGAGAGCAGAGGATGGTCCGAGTCGGTCTCAAAACAGGATGTCGAGCCCTTAGTGACCTCTGATCCAGTATTAGTTGGCGATTCCGCGGTTTGATTGGAATTGGTCCAATAGACACGAAACTGCTGAAAGGAATATTCAAACATCAAAACGGAAAGCCATCATCGACCGCCCCATTGATACAAATGAATCAGATAGACACTCAGACACATATTTCTGCGTACATACAATCAGATAATACTAGGCGCGCCTACACACACACACACACGCATTCACGCAGGTACAAACACAGAAGATTGTACTAATCGAGTTCTGGTGTCCGCTTCCTTTGTTCACGTGAGTTTTCTCAATAATGATGTAGTTATAAACTTTCTCATTCATCTGAAGACAAAATTTCTAAAACAAAGAACTTGAAGTTTTATCTTTGATGCTCATCAGGGTTGAAATAGCGTTTCAAATTACACAAGTCACACTACTTCGTGCTAAAAAAATAATTTGTAGAAGTAGTTCTCAAGTTCCACTGGTAAAGGGAAGATTTTTTGTGAACCACATACMAGAAAATTTGAAGGGGGAGTGACTTATTTCATTCATGTTGTCGGGGTCTAAGTTTTTTATTCAATACTTCAGGTTTTTGGGAAGTACTGCGACTTGATGCAATACAGCGCGTTACGCAAGCAGATCCTTGTCAAAATCCCATTCCAAGTGTGATCCCTTAGCAGCTTCGTCGGCTGATTCGTCTTCATCTCCTTCGTCATCGCCTTGGACCATTGCCTCGAATGCTTCCTCGTCCAGTTTCTTCATGATTACTGTTCCCTGCTGGATTGTTTCGTCCTCTTCCTCCGGGTTGATCTGTCCTAACAAGACCACAGAATCTCCCCGCACGATGTACAGGCCCAGGGGAATATCCGTAAAATAGGTCACTTTTGGTTGCTGATGTTCGTCGTTGTCGTTGCTATCACTGCTGTGAAATCTTCGCTCGGAGGCCTCATCTAGTACCATGTTGCTGAACTGGTCAAAGGTTCGAAGTTTCTGTAGCACGACAATATTTAATTTAGTGTGTATTGGCAATTGTTTGTTTCCGTCGTGTTTCCGATCCGTTGTTCGTAGTATGAGAGCCGCACAACATGCATAGAATTCAGCGGTTTGTTTGTGTGAGAATGGATTCATTGTTTGAAAAGGCACAAACGAATATTCAAAAAGATTGAAACAGCAAACAATGACGGACAGATTGCTACCATTTCAAAAGCGACAGCAAAATCAAGAAGTGTCACGATGCTACACCACCTAAATGCATCCTTTGTTTGCGTCGAGCCACTTACACCAACGATATGGCGTCCGTCTCTTAGGACCACCATGGACCGCTGATCCAATTCTTCCACCAAGCTCGAAGATCCCGGCAGGTAGGCCGGAACGTGTCCAAAGGGAATTCCCGTGTTGGGAGCAATCTTCTGGGTAGTTCCCTGATTATTTTGCGGTTGGTTCCGTCCTCTACCCCTGCCTCTCGCGTTCGGATCGTGAATGGTTCGACCTCCAGCTCCTGTTCGCCCTCGCCCCGATCTTCCGCCTCGGCCGCTGCCTCCGCGCCCATCCCCACTGTTTCTTCCCCGTCCTCGCCCCCGCTGAACAGGTGACATAGCTTCACGAGAAGCAGGAGGGACTTCGCCGACCAAGCCCGGGGGCTGCTTCTGGGGTGGGACTTGCGGCGGAGGCGGCATTGGCGTAGCTGGTTGTTGCTCGGAATTCTCCTCCATGCTTGCTACTGCTCAGCTCAATAATACTTTTCCGAAACAAAAAAAAGGATCTCTCGCGCTATCTCTTATTTCGTAACACAAGCCGATGCAATGATCATGCCTTCGAAATGATTTGAATTCAATTTTTCGTTGTTTGTTGTCCCCTCGTTAGGTTCGTATGTACCGGTATGTCTTACCCTTTTGTCGTCTGTAGAGGTTCGTCGTACAATTTTTGTACGGTAGTACCCAGTACTCGTACTCGTACTTTGTTCATTCCTACAGTTCGTACCATACAGTATGGTACCATACGGTGTACTTTATGTGCGGTGCGAAAGACTTTGCATACCGTATTTCGTATTTCTACCTGTACACTAGTCTGTCCCTAGTTGGTATTTAGAACCTTAGTAGTAGTAATCCTTCAAGGGTCGATAGCAATCTGATCGATAGCAATCTGATACTATCTGATACTACGTGTGATTTTTTCTTAAATTTCATACTTTCCATGAAAAGCTGTAGTACTGGTACGCACGAACCCGTAGGAGGAAAAAGTGCTTTTGGTTCAAGGAAAAAAAGGGAAATCTCTCCATATTCAGCAACACTGCGATTATCACTATCGTATCGGAGAATTAAGCAATGGCAGGAAACGAAAGCGGCGAACATATTGTCTGCCACGACTACATGGCTGCATTGGAACGTACCATCAACGAGATGGACGTTCTTCGGGCTATTTATGGCGAGGATGGCGACAACAACAATCACGGATCCGGATCCTCCTCCTCATTTGAAATCGTATCCCCCGGGCCAGATGAGATGAATCGAATGCGAAGATTTCTAGGGCTCTGCATCGAAGACGGCGATGAGGACGATGATTTCGAACATCATGAAGACAAATGCGATGAAGGGGGAAATATGGAGGATCAACCGCAACCATTCCCGGATATTCAAATCCAGCTCCGGATTCCAATCCAAAACATTGAAGAGAACGGCAGCGACGACGATAGAATCGTCGCTACCCTCCGATGCCGCTTGCCCCTCGGATATCCAGAATACTTCCCCGCTCTCGTCACGTCCCTTCGTCTGGTGCCGGCACGGAACCGTTCGCTGACGGAAGAAATCGCTCGCAGTCTAAACGAAACATCGGCTACCAGTCTGCAGGGGACCGAATCAATCATGGATCTGGTCGAAGAGACCCGGGAGCTTCTCTTGTCCGATCGATTCGCTGCGGATTCGTCCAAGGGCAGCGACCAGGTACACGATGTAAAAGCCGAGGACCAACACCGCAACCGCGGGTGCCGCATGTGGATCTGGGTTCACCACATTACGTCGACAGATCGAAGAAAGTCTATTTTGGAAGAAGCCCGCGAGCGTGACCTGACCGGAATCCTCAAGCACGGATACCCCGGGGTTGTTCTGGTGGAAGGATCCCATGCGGCATGCGAATCATTTGTGGGTTGGATCAAGGGCAACAAGAGTCGACCGGGTGGCTTCGGGCGAAACTGGGGACACCACGTGAGGGGCGAAATCGAGTTTCCGCTCTCGGGGAGCCCAGAAGAGGATTCGGTCGTCACAAAGACCGTCGCCATGACGACCTTCGAGGAAATGGAAGAGCTTTCCGCCATGGCGAAATCCTGTAAGGAATTGGGGCTGGAAGACGAATTCAAGGAGTTTGTCATGCAACACAAAAAATAGGTTTCTGCGAACTCTTGCACACTTCGGTGTATCGTAAACCTACCACGAGCTTGAACCGGGTTAGTTTTGATGGCCAAAGAAAGCAAGCAATGAACGAGAAACATAAAACAGATGGAAACTAAAGCGACCAACGATCTATCTGTCCACGGAATCCAATTTTCCGAGATGCTCATCAACTCTTGGTACGACAAACGTATTATTTGATTTGATTCTCCTTGATTTTACTCCATTCGATTCGAATCATCCGTGGCTCGGATCCATTCGTTTCGCCAATCTTTGAAACAAGTTCGTAACGCTTTCAAGAGGGAGCACGAGCCAAAACTTGGGGTTTTAATTCGGTTGTTCCATTTTCTTGGAAACAGAATTTTCCGAAAAAGCCTTTATTCGTATAGCAAATACGAGAGAAAGCGGCACTGTGCTTGACTGGTATTGGCATCATTATACCATCTGTCGTGATTGATATTATGGTACAGAAATATACTGTAAGAACAGTGAGAAGTTTCCGTCAAAATTAGTGTCGTGGTCTCCCCTCATAATATGCAGGTCGTATCCACATTGAATGATATTGCACTCGAGAACTATTTTGACTGATTCCCAATAGAATCAAGCTGCATTACGAAAATAAGATTTGCGGCTTTCATCGTAAAATAATCCCAAGGTAAACATCCGACGATGCACGATGAATATTGGAAAAAACTTCACGATTATTTTATCTTCTCGCGTTCCTTTGTACTTCTCTATTCCACGAGCAAGACGGTTTTGCTCGCGACAAAAAAGGCGGGCATGCGTTACACGATGAAACAAAAAAAAGGCTCAAATGCCTATCAACCGACTCAGGGGGTTAGCGAACAGGTCCTGGCCGCTGTTCCTTCGCCGTTTTGTTGTTGTTGTTGCTGCTGCTACTGCTGCTGTTGTAGCTGCACTATCGCTGCAGCATATTGCGGTGCATTGGGTTTCGTTAAAGCTCCGGGTGTCCGGTCGTCAGAACGGCGCCACTCGAAGGAGGGATCGCCGGTTCGGGAACGGCACCGGCGTTCTGTGTCGCGGCCAGGACGCCGATTTCTTCCTTCTTGCATTCCTTCTTGGCTTCGATGACGGCAATGTCTTTTCGGGCGTTGTCAAAGGCGGCGCGGATCTTGGCCTCCTTGTCTTGGTCGGACATGCCCTCGGATTTTTCGAGTTCGGCCATCAGGTCGTAGATCTCGATTCCGAAGGATTGCTTGCGGGTGTTGATTTCGCGCTCCAAAAAGAGGACGTCCATCTGTGGCGCGATCCCGGTTGGGTTGGCGGTGCGTTGGTGAGCGGTTGCACGAGCAAGCGGAGGGAGATCGAAGGAACGGAACAAGGACGCGAAAGTGTGAGTAAGAACTCCGTGCGGAACGACACAATTTTTCATTCCCGGATCCAGTCGTAGACCGACGCTGCTACGGTCACAACGGCCCACCACAGGAACGATCCAAAAAAACACCCATGAATGACTACGGCACAGCGAGCAATGCCCACCAGCGCGCCCTCAACGAAGGAGCTGTCTTTTCCACCCAAACAGTCGTCCGGAAAGTGGTTAACCCGGATCCGACCACCGGGTGGCGCAAACGAGTCGCTGGTGGGAGCCCAGGGGCCGAAGCGCGCGGGGGCTTCAACGAAGAAAACGAAAGGATCCATAGGGCCGTGCGGTACATACCCGGAGTCGTGACAGTCGTCCGTACTTGCGTACCTTTAGCATTTGCTTCGCACCGGCATTGACAACCGAGTTGCTCGCCCTTTTGACTTTTTCCATAACGTTACTCATTGTGTTGGTTGGTGGTTGTTTCAGATCGAATTTTTGGGAATTGTTGAGAATGGTTTTTGATACGAAGACTTTTTGCTGTGCTCGAGGAAAGTCAGAATGCTATCCACAAAGCCAAAGGTTCCGATGGTTGAATAATCAAATTATTTTTCTCGAGGTTACCGTTGGTCCACGGTTGGGTAGTAGTAGACGAGAAGTTTAGCCGGAGTTGTTTCTGCCAGCATATGTAAGCTTATTTTCGTACTTAGCCAAAAAGACTTGTTCCCACCAATTACGCGACCAATGTCGCGCACACGTCGTCCCCGGGTGCGCGCTAACGAAAACAACATTCTTTGGTTCCTCCAACAAAACCCGAAGCGAACCGAATTTCTCTCTGCCAAGCCATGCATCATCCGAACTCTCGAACCGCAACAAGATTCGAGGTGTCGTCGGCAAGTTCCCGCAGTGCGCACTCGCAGGGGGTGTGGTACAACAAGGCAACGATCCTATCGATCCCAAGCAACGAAATAGCACAGCGGCAGCGATCGGTGCGGCTTCGGGACTTTTTCCTGCAAGGAATGCGACTGGACTTTGTCGGCAATGCGACCGGTCCATCCAGCTATCGTACCCATTGGTGCGTCCGGCGACGAACGAGGTGTGGAGTCGGACACGACGTCGACAAAAGAGTGAGGCGATGGTGATCATGATCGTGGCGGTGATTTGGCAACATGAAAAAGGGATAATTCCGGTTGGGCCTAGACAAGAAGGGAAATGTCACCTTTCGGCGGCAAAAAGCCATGGGATAGAACGCGGTGCACCCCGCTGCGTTCCGGTCCGTGGCGAACACAACAACCTGTGCACGGATCGGGATCCGCTCTCTTGCCGCGCCGTGACCGGCACCGAGCTCGGCGGTGATCGGTGGACAAACACGACCGCTTGTGCTTCGGGTGATACAATCTCTTGTGCAATGCCCAAGACCACGCAGCAAGTATTGTCGAAAAGAACATACGCATCCATTATGTTCAGGATCGATGGGGGGCAGCTTTGGACCTTATCCACGACGAAGGATCGGTTTGTTTCCATCGCTCGGCATTGTTGAAATCATTGGAGGGGATCGAGTGAGTTGTTGAGTCAGCGAGTCAGCCAATCGATCATTGGGGTTTCGCACCACGACAAAATCACCCTGCAGTGGCCAACAAAAAACGATGTTTTGCTCTTGTAACTGAATCCAGCGTGGAAACAAGAGTCTGAAAAAAATCCCTCGTGATTCGCCATCCCAGCCAACGCTTGCCCTGCGCATCGCAATACAAAAACATAGATTTGGGATCGTTGCCACGAACGAAGTCGCGGTTCCGATGTTCATCCTATGGTTTCTCTGTACAATAGAAAGTACAGCACGAGGTTACGAGACGACTTCATCGCTGATCTACTCGTCTCTCTGCTACCGAATTTCCAAAAAATTGACCATCCCATCGCTCTCGCACAATTTCGAATGGAGCCCCTGAAACCAGCAATGGCAGACGGGTCGCAGGCTCTCGGAGTGCACTCCGCTTTGGAGGGCGATATGTGTCAAAAACAAACACGAGAAAGACCGATAAATGATACCATCATTTCAAAGGTCAGGCCAATTGACGTGCATTGCTTCTAATGTTATTTCGTGCTTCATTTCAAAAAAAGTATCGACCGAGAGTATGCAATAGAAATATTATTTCAGAATTCAACGTGCAGAAATTAATGGTTTTCTACATTTGTGGATGCCAAGTGATAACACAAAACCTGAACCAGTCTTTTACACTCCTACACAATAGAATTTTCAATAGAATTGTTCTCGCGAATTCGAATCTGACTAGCATATCTGCTCGTTGCTATTTTTTCTGGTGACCCATTCTTCCGGTCGAACACTAAAACTATGCAGCTGCATATCATCAGCATGGTGTGTTTGTTGGGGTTGTTGTTTAGATAGGCTTAGGATTCACTGTATAGCGCCTACTATCTCACAGCCCGTGCAACGTCTCCAACAGTGTTCACTGGAAGGTTTCTTTCGTTTCGGAACCGGCAGGCAATCGCACGGAAAAAACTCCTCCTCGGCAGGGCCGCAACCGGATTTCGCGTCCCGTTTACTGTGCAATGTACAGGTACTGCTCGCCGTCGGGGACGGACAGGTCCGGATTTCGCAGGACACGGTCGTTGTTCGCGGCAGCTTCCCGGCCTTCCGCAATGGCCCTGTGGTAGTAGTCCCGGATGGAGGCCTTCCGCTCCTCCCTTGCGTTCCACGGGGTGTTCGCAGCCGCAGCCGGACCAGCCGCTGCCGGACCGCGCACCAGTGCCGCGAAGAGGCCCGGGGCTTGCTCCGCCGCGGGCTCTTCGTGCTCGCGCCGATCGGCGTGGTTCGCTTCGTTGTCCTCGGCTGCGTCCTCGCATGGAGTGGTCCCGAAAAGAACCTTGAGGGGTTCGGAGAGCGCGGCGGGAACGGATCTCGTCGCTGCCGCCGTCCTGGATTGAATCATTCTCGCGAGGGAAAGGATTCTGGAGGTCATTGTTTCCGCGTGGTATTGTGCAGTGTCTTGCGTTGCCTCGTGTCGATAGAGATGTCGTGACTACGTGTTGCTGTTTTGTGCGAAGTTGGTAAAAGAGTGGTTAACGATAACCTACGTACTTGATAGTTCCTTCCTGTAATACGTTACGTCGTAATTGGGAGCGTGAAGTGTATATTGTATTAACAACAATATATTATGTTGATGTTTCTTCTTCAACCAAGATGTGTCATGGGGCAGCGATAACAGTTGTCAAAACATACGTTGTTCTCGAACTAGTGTTCAGCTACGAGTATGTTCGTTACAGTGGTCAAGAACGGAATTAAAAAGTTCTCGCTACAGAACGATAATGTATTCTTTTTGTACGCATTCATTACATCGCACTCATAATCTTTTGCGAGGGTTCCCGTAGCCTAACTCGTACCTGTACGAGTACCGGTACCGGCCGACAGGAAGTACAATGCTTCGTATCGTACAGTAATATTAGTAACGTACAAAGTACAGAACTGAATTTTGCTGCTTCCACGACTCAAAACGGTCCGGTACAGTAATTACGAATTCCCCCCAAAAACTGATGTCACTAGCTTTTGAATGACTAAAGAGTGCAGGGAAAGAGAACAAATAATCTTATCATTGGCGCCATACAAACGACATTCGAACGAGAAATCTTGCTTGAGAGACAGAGGTGTGACATCATCGAAAGAACTCAAACAGTCTAGAATGAATCTTATCCGCTTCCTTCAGCATCCACAGAGCTATCTACCGACACTTGGCACGGAAACAGTTTGTGGTAAGTTTAGGGACTGTGCAAAGCAGATTGATGGGGTTGCTACGGAATTTTTGTTCCAGACAGGCACATTTTGTGTTGACGGGTGAAATCAACGAATTATCTTTCGTTGTTGACCGAAAGCGAACCGATGTTTAGCGTCAGTTGAATCTAAAATCTAGGATGATAGTGTTGTGGCCCACAATGATGCGTTGCAGTAAATTTTGGCTACGCCATTCGCTTGACGGAGTATGTGGTGTGTTATTGTGGCAGTCCGTTTTGAAGCTCAATGGTCCATCACGTATTGAAATTGTGAATACAATGCATACGCACCGTAACATCACCTGTTGACGACCAGACGTCGAAAATTATCGATGACGTCATAATTTTTAGTTTGGCGAACATCGACAAAATTGGAGAAAATTTATCAATCAGACAAG